ATGCATCACGTATGGCTGTTTGGCGGTGCAGACTCCGCGCCTTTGTTCCGAAGAAAATAATGGGGCCGGGCGCAAGAGGTTGACGACAAACTCGGAGGGCTCGGCGCTGTGCGCGATCACTTTGTCGGCGTCGCGTCGGTCCAAGCACTGCAGCAAGCTCACTCGCAGGCGCTCGTAGAGCTGGCCGTTGCAGTAGCACAGCACAAAGCAGTCGGTCGCGCGCAAGTTGATGGTCGGCGTGGCCTTGAGCTGTGGATACGTCTCCATGATTGCGTGCACGGTGCCACCGCGCGCCGTTTGTCGGGGCGGGCGACGTCGCAGGGTGCCCAAGGTGACTCGGTTCTTGATATTGTTGTAGTAAAACTAGCATAGTCGATCTCAGTCTTCTTCTTTTTGCGCGTTTTGTCGTGTCTACTGGATGCATGAACATTTAGATAAGTTGACAACGACGACGATGCATACCAAAGTACGGGGTGGTGAGACCATAAAGCAGCGGAATACTCGCGATCAATTGAACATAGACGATGCATCCGAGACAGGACTCGATCACGTGATTGGCCGATGCGGTCGGCACACCAACGGTGAACGTCCATTGGTACAGCCTCGTGAAGACCGGAATGTGTCCGTTCATCCACGTCAACAGTGGGCCGTAGACCATGACGGCAATCGCCAAAACCGTCGGATCCACGTCAGCAAACACATGCTCCTTGTGAAAGCGCTTGAGACCATACGAGACGAGGCAGAGGCTCCAATAGGCAAACCATACCTACTCGTCCATATCGAAGACTCGAGACTAATCGAATATAGATCGAGGCGTACGGTGCGGGAAAGGTACCATGTGCTTCGAAACACATGCTCGAGGCTGCCCGACTGCGCGACTTGCATGATCGCAACCGCGAGGTTGGTGACGCTGAGCCAAATATCCAAGAAATACAACGTCGCGACGGAGGGGTCCATAAGAATAATGGCGGTCGGGTCCCCGACCACGAGTTCGTACGACCAGACGCCGCTCGGTAGCGTCGCGCGGTGCCCTCGCCCTTGCAAAACACTCTTCAGCGCCCACACGTGCTTGTAATACCCATGCCAGAGCCGATACCACACAAAGAGCGTTGATGCAATGCGGTAGCCAAATTTAAACCAGATCCACGGCCCGAACCGCGACTCGTAGTAGACGTAAGTGAGCGTCATGGCCGTTGCATCCGAGCTCTCGCGGTGGACAACGTTGCCAGGTAGGAGCCAAAAGCACACATGGCCCGTCGAGAGCGTGCACAGCGTGGCTTGAAAGCACGAGCCTTGCGCGGTCCAGTTGACGGCGCTCGCGTTCGGCGCCGTCATGGCCGCACAGAGCATCTCCATGGCGCGGTTGGTGTAGAACACGAGCCCGGGAAGACCTGGGAGCTGGGTGTTGAAGCACGTACGGAACGACATACTGGGCGGTTGCCCCAAGTGCAGAAGCGCACGGGCCACTTGGGCGTTGTTGGGCTTGTCCACAAGGTACAAATTGCCATCCGGTATCGTTGAGTTCGAGTACATTGCGCGGCTGCGGTCGAGCTCCGTCGAGACGAAATCGGTGTAGTTGGCGTAGGCGAGGGGCGGCGAGAGCTTGCCTGTCCACGGAAGGTACTCGGAGATGTAGGCCGTGAGCGGCTGCATGCGGTCATGAGAGCGCGGAAGTAAAATAGATGGAGGCGTACCACGGTTGACACTTTAAGGAACGAGGCGACGCTTAGCCACCACGCGAGACGGTTCCAACGGACGCGACGATCAAGGGCAGAGACGTCGGCCACCCTGCCTAGCCCCATGCCCTGTATTTCCTTGGAATGGAGCTTCCGATACTATCTTTGGCACGTAACCCTATCCCTATATGATTTTCTTGGCAACAGACAATAACAGGCAACGCGAAAGCCGTGGACAAGGTGAAGAGCGTACGTATGCTGGGTCGCTGGACACTTAAAAATTGGATCTGTATATACACCGAGCTTACACTGAGTATGCCCCTCCCTGTATCACATGAGTGCAAGGCACTATGCTAAATCAAAGACTGCTTGCTGACGTTGTATCCAGATGCGAACGGTCGCACCGTGTTTTCCCTAAAAAGGCATAACGCTGTCTTGGCACAAACGAGAGTGGCGGGTCGGTGCTACGAAATTGGGCTAGCACATTCCCCTTTCACAATGTAATCCCGGCACGAAGAACATAAATTAAAACATACAACGAGACAATGTGACCAAAAATGGGAAAAAAATGTCATCTGTTCTCAAAAATCACCACTGGGTGCCATTCGCGGCGCAATCGCCAGCGTCAAACGCGCACTCGCGGTTGTAGCAGCTGCGCTCGCACACATTGTTGCCACGCGCGAGGTTGGAGCACGTCGGTGCACACACGGCGGCGCAGCCGTCGCCACCAGCGAGACAGAACGGACTGCCATCAACGAGCACCTGCCGCGCTGCAATCCGTGCCGCGACCACGTCGGACGTGACCTTGTCAATCGGATTGTTGCTCAAATCCAATACGAGCGCCGGTTTGGCCGCTAGCAGCGCATACGGCAACGTTGGCACTCGGTTTTGGGCCATCTGAAGACGACTCAGCGCCGGGAGCGCGAGTAGCTCATTCTCGGGGATCGAGTTGAACTGATTCGACGAGACATCCAACCGCTCGAGGGCGCGGAGCTCGTGAATCCAGTTGGGCCATTCTTGCAGCTGGTTGTCGTGCAGAAGCAGCGCAGCGAGGTTGGCCCACGACGACGGCCGCGTCGGGGGCAACGTCGATGTCGTTAGACTCTGAGAAAGTGTCAGTGTCTGGCAGTAGGTTGGTAGCACCGTCAAGGCGGGTGGGATGTCCATAAACGGCGTATCGTAAAAATTGAGCGAAAGCAAATTGGGTGGCCATGCCGTGTTGGGTGGCAGCGACCAATTCGTCATTATCTGCGCCGACTGCACCGTGACTCCATAGAGCTGCGGAAATTGCGACAACGACGAGAAATTGAGTCCGTTGCGCAGTGGACAGCGCACCCACTGCACGTAAAACAACATCGAACCGAGTTGTTCTGGCGAAAAGAGGTTTGTTGTGTACGCGACGTTGGTGTCGTTGCACTCAATGCGAAGCAACGCACACGTACAGCTGTTCGTCCACCAGGGTGTTGCCACCATGCCGCATTCGGGGGGGCAATGGGGGGGCGCCATCATGACGCTCAGCCCAGCTATCGCTGACACAAGACCAATCGAAAACGAGTACAACACAAGGCCGCGTTTGACCCACAAACGCCACACGATATACCGTGCTGGTTTCGAAGGGGCCAACCTCTCGAAGGACGCGACGAGCGGACCAATCGCGCGACTGGTCATCGCGGTGGGGGCCACGACCGACGAACGCATTAGCGTCATCGGGTCGACCAGTTGTCGGACGTTCCATAGACTGGCCGAAAACAAAATGACCTTTTCCAGCAAATCCAGAGCGGAATTGGGCGCCAAAAATCGGGTCAAGAGCGTGTAGCGCACCGTCCAATTCGACGAATAGCCGACGCGCGGGTCCACAAATTTAGCGACAAGGAGCGCAGGAACCACGACAACGAGGTAAAACCCCGTCGAGAGCCCAAAGCTTGTGAGGCTGTTGACCAAGCGGGCCGCATCCGACCGTGCCGGCCACGGTGTCGAGACGGCGGCAAGGCTCACGAGAAGGGCATACGCGACGCAGACGTCGACGTCGACGGTATACTTGCTGAGCCGCCAGGCTTGCAGGAGCTGGACGGTTGTTTCCACCACGTTGCCGAGTTGGACGACGCGGGACGGCACCGAGAGGCTGCGCCAGCGCATGGGCGTCAACGACCGACGGCAGCGGATCGGTACAAACAGCGAAATCGCACCGAGCAAGTGGGTGAAAGCAAAGCTCAAGTACAAGGGCGCACTCAGCGACGTCATGGCGTAGACTTGGAATTTGACTTGGTCCGACGGCTTTGCGAAGAGCATGATGAGGCCCAAGAGGAGAAGGTACACGCACGATGCGACGTGCTTGAGGAGCGCGACGGCGACGAAGACGCGCCGCATTCCGCGAAATGGAGCGAGGATGAAAATAGGATTCCGATCAAAACGGTACTGTGTCCTTTTTACGTAGAGAGTGAGGAAGAGCTGGTACTAGACACTACGAAATGTATTCCTCTCATCCGCCAAGCTCGTTGGTTGCAAAGTGCTAGGGCGAGTGGTATGACGATGGCCCTCGGATTTTGGCGCCAGGATCCCACCACCGTGTATGCACGCTTGATAACTTGATACTAGTACGCGATAGATACTGGATACAATCACAGCAACGTGGCACGCCAGGACTTTCAAATCATGAGCTTTTGCAAGCGATCGCAGCAGCTAACGCAGAGCTTCGAAAGAGGGGTTCGCTCGAAGCACGCCGACGTCGAACATCAACTTCAACGAGTGCTTCAACGCGGTGCCAGCTTCAAGAATTCGAATTTCACAAACCTGATCGGATTGGCACGAGGCACGAGCCGCTGCTTCTGACCACATCAACGGGTTTTGCCCAGGATGCGTTTTTCTCTTCCAAACTTTTTTGTACGCCGAGCGTTTGGAGGCGGCTGTCGCGTCCTGCACGCGGTGACGAAGCCGCATCAACGCTAAAGTTAGTCGACTACTGAGCTGTCTAGCCAAGAGAAATACATGAACACATGTAGTTGTCTGCGCTAGTGCTGTGACACATCGTCACAACGTGAACACTCCACCGTAGACAGTCCTAGAGAGCTGTCCCGTTGTCCATCGAGAGCCTGTCTTTCGATCTGGTTTAACCTACGGGTCTTGGAATGTCTAAATGCACGCAGTTTTAAATCGCCCTTGCAGTGTTCCCAGTAGCGTGCTGACATCAATTGTCCCATCGCCAAGCTATCACGTTCAGGCACGCTTCAAACAAAACAACAGCGCTTAATTTACAGAGCTCCTTCGACCCCTACGCTATGTTACAAGATCGTCGTTGACCTAGCGCGCACTTTACGGTGTTTGAGACCTTCTATCGCTCGTCGTCGCAACATCCAGCCAACAGCCTTTCCTCTGCAGGAGCCCATCACCCTCGACCGAGGTGACAGACGGCCGCCTTGCACTCTGTCCGCACGTTGGCAGCCTTGCAGGCGACTGTAGAGTGGCGTGTCGTCAGACAGCGAGCGCTGGCGGTAGTAGGACCCACGTTCAACCCGACGGTGCCGCGTTTAACCCGTTGCTACGGTCGCCGACCATGGCGCGATTCAACAATTGCGGTCCATGTGGCGATCCACGACGACGCGCCGAAATGTGTCCTAGTTCTAGGCCAATTCGGCACTTTTCAGTACAATCAGGCATTGTAACTTTTTAAACCACGCATGCCCATACGGTAGAAACGATATTTTTATTCGTCGAATAGATCCGAATCCAAGAGCCCTTTGTCCTACGACAAGGCGATAAAATGGCCTCATATTAGGGTGCTCGATGTCCCATAGAAACCTCCAGTGGAAGCCCACCCAGGTGCATTTTAATGCGCCCAAACAGCCAAAGTATACAAACCATACGCTATTAAATAAAAGGCCACACCATATCCAGCGACAACAGTGGCCGTAATTGTGTCATTCATCAACTTACCGCCCAGTCCTTAACATGCAGCTCGTCCTCGCACTCTCCGCGCTGCTCGTTAGCGCCGTCCAGGCTGCCACGTACCCTGCGTATACGGTCCCGGCCGTGGACATGGCCGCGCCGGCGGCGGCCGCCGAGACCATCGAGGCGCTCCGGGCCACGGGCA